CGATAGTCTTGGATCCTTCTTGACTGAACCACAGTAGCAGCAGTAAACAGTTAACTGACCAACCAGCACAATTAACAGTAGTGAGAGCCGTTACGTACAACAACAGGAAGTAAGCAATGATAAATACTAGCAGGAGCAAGAACAACAGCAGAAGCAGCATGAACAACGACAGTAACAACAGCAAAAGCAGAATGAGCAACAGTAACAACAACAGAAGCAGTATGAACAGCAACAGTAACAGCAGCAGCATGAACAACAGGAGCAGCAGCAAGAGCATGAACAACAGAAACAGTGTGAACAACAACAGCAGCATGAACAGCTTGAGCAACAGCTACAGCATGTGCAACAACAGGAGCATGGAGAACAGCAACAGCATGAACAACAGCAGAAGCAGCAACAGCATGAACAACAGCATGAACAACAACAACAGCAGCAGCAACATCATGAACAACAACAACAGCAGCAACATCATGAACAACAGCAACAGCAGCAGCAGCAACATCATGAACAACAGCAACAGCAGCAGCAGCAACATTATGAACAACAACAACAGCAGCAGCAGCAGCATGAACAACAACAACAGCAACAACATCATGAACAACAACAACAGCAGCAGCAACATTATGAACAACAACAACAACAGCAGCAGCAGCATGAACAACAACAACAGCAGCAACATCATGAACAACAACAACAACAGCAACATCATGAACAACAACAACAACAGCAGCAGCAACAGCATGAACAACAACAACAGCAGCAGCAACATCATGAACAACAACAACAGCAGCAACATCATGAACAACAACAGCAGCAGCAACATCATGAACAACAACAGCAGCAACATCATGAACAACAACAACAACAGCAGCAGCAACATCATGAACAACAACAGCAGCAACATCATGAACAACAACAACAGCAGCAGCAACATCATGAACAACAACAACAGCAGCAACATCATGAACAACACAACAACAAGCAGCAGCAACATCATGAACAACAACAACAACAGCAGCAGCAACATCATGAACAACAACAACAACAGCAGCAACATCATGAACAACAACAACAGCAGCAGCAACATCATGAACAACAACAACAGCAGCAACATCATGAACAACAACAACAACAGCAGCAACAACATCATGAAACAACAACAACAGCAGCAACATCATGAACAACAACAACAGCAGGCAACATCATGAACAACAACAACAGCAGCAACATCATGAACAACAACAACAACAACAGCAGCAACATCATGAACAACAACAACAGCAGCAACATCATGAACAACAACAACAACAGCAGCAACATCATGAACAACAACAACAACAGCAGCAACATCATGAACAACAACAGCAGCAACATCATGAACAACAACAGCAGCAACATCATGAACAACAACAACAGCAGCAGCAACTTCATGAACAACAACAACAACAGCAGCAGCAACATCATGAACAACAACAACAACAGCAGCAGCAGCAACATCATGAACAACAACAGCAGCAGCAGCAGCAGCAACATCATGAACAACAACAACAACAGCAGCAGCAACATTATGAACAACAACAACAGCAGCAACATCATGAACAACAACAACAGCAGCAACATCATGAACAACAACAACAGCAGCAGCAGCAGCAGCAACATCATGAACAACAACAGCAGCAACAGCAGCAGCAACATCATGAACAACAACAACAGCAGCAGCAGCAGCAACATCATGAACAACAACAACAGCAGCAGCAGCAGCAGCAGCAACATCATGAACAACAACAGCAGCAGCAGCAGCAACATCATGAACAACAACAACAGCAGCAGCAGCAGCAGCAACATCATGAACAACAATAACAACAACAACAGCAGCAGCAGCAGCAACATCATGAACAACAACAGCAGCAGCAGCAGCAACATCATGAACAACAGCGGCAGCAGCAACATCATGAACAACAACAACAGCAGCAGCAGCAGCAGCAACATCATGAACAACAACAACAACAACAGCAGCAGCAGCAGCAGCAACATCATGAACAACAACAGCAGCAGCAGCAACATCATGAACAACAACAACAGCAGCAACATCATGAACAACAACAACAGCAGCAACATCATGAACAACAACAACAGCAGCAACTTCATGAACAACAACAACAGCAGCAACATCATGAACAACAACAGCAGCAACATCATGAACAACAACAACAGCAGCAACATCATGAACAACAACAACAGCAGCAACATCATGAACAACAACAACAGCAGCAGCAGCAGCAACATCATGAACAACAACAACAGCAGCAGCACCAACATCATGAACAACAACAACAACAGCAGCAGCAGCATCATGAACAACAACAGCAACATCATGAACAACAACAACAGCAGCAACATCATGAACAACAACAACAACAGCAGCAGCAGCAGCAGCAACATCATGAACAACAACAACAACAGCAGCAACATCATGAACAACAACAACAACAGCAGCAGCAGCAGCATCATGAACAACAACAACAGCAGCAGCAGCAGCAACATCATGAACAACAACAACAGCAGCAGCAACATCATGAACAACAACAAGAACAGCAGCAACATCATGAACAACAACAACAGCAGCAGCAGCATCATGAACAACAACAACAGCAGCAACATCATGAACAACAACAACAGCAGCATCAGCATCATGAACAACAACAGCAGCAACATCATGAACAACAACAACAGCAGCAGCAGCATCATGAACAACAACAGCAGCAACAACATCATGAACAACAACAACAGCAGCAACATCATGAACAACAACAACAACAGCAGCAACATCATGAACACCAACAACAGCAACAACATCATGAACAACAACAACAGCAGCAGCAGCATCATGAACAACAACAACAGCAGCAGCAGCATCATGAACAACAACAACTTCATGAACAACAACAACAACAGCAGCAACATCATGAACAACAACAACAGCAGCAGCAGCATCATGAACAACAACAGCAACAACATCATGAACAACAACAACAACAGCAGCAACATCATGAACAACAACAACAACAGCAACAACATCATGAACAACAACAACAACAGCAGCAACATCATGAACAACAACAACAGCAGCAGCAACATCATGAACAACAACAACAGCAACAACATCATGAACAACAACAACAGCAGCAGCAACATCATGAACAACAACAACAGCAACAACATCATGAACAACAACAACAACAGCAACAACAGCAGCAACATCATGAACAACAACACAACAACATCATGAACAACAACAACACAGCAGCAACATCATGAACAACAACAACAGCAACAACATCATGAACAACAACAACAAACAGCAACATCATGAACAACAACAACAGCAACATCATGAACAACAACAACAACAGCAACATCATGAACAACAACAACAACAACAACAGCAACATCATGAACAACAGCAACAGCAACATCATGAACAACAACAACAACAACAGCAGCAACATCATGAACAACAACAACAAGAGCAGCAACATCATGAACAACAACAACAACAGCAACAACATCATGAACAACAACAACAGCAACAACATCATGAACAACAACAACAGCAACATCATGAACAACAACAGCAGCAACATCATGAACAACAACAACAAGAGCAGCAACATCATGAACAACAACAGCAGCAACATCATGAACAACAACAAGAGCAGCAACATCATGAACAACAACAACAACAGCAGCAACATCATGAACAACAACAACAGCAACATCATGAACAACAACAACAGCAACATCATGAACAACAACAGCAGCAACATCATGAACAACAACAACAAGAGCAGCAACATCATGAACAACAACAGCAACATCATGAACAACAACAGCAGCAGCAGCATCATGAACAACAACAACAGCAACAACATCATGAACAACAACAACAACATCATGAACAACAACAACAACAACAGCAGCAACAACATCATGAACAACAACAACAACAACAGCAGCAACATCATGAACAACAACAGCAGCAACATCATGAACAACAACAACAACAACAGCAACATCATGAACAACAACAGCAGCAACATCATGAACAACAACAGCAGCAACATCATGAACAACAACATGAACAATAACAACAACAGCAGCAACATCATGAACAACAACAACAACAGCAGCAACAACATCATGAACAACAACAACAGCAGCAGCACATGAACAACAACAACAGCAACAACATCATGAACAACAACAACAAACATCATGAACAACACAACAGGAGCAACATCATGACCAACAACAACAACATGAACAATAACAAAAACAGCAGCAACATCATGAACAACAACAACAACAGCAGCAACATCATGAACAACAACAACAGCAACATCATGAACAACAACAACATGAACAATAACAAAAACAGCAGCAGCAACATCATGAACAACAACAACAGCAACATCATGAACAACAGCAGCAACATTATGAACAACAACAACAACAACAGCAACATCATGAACAACAGCAGCAACATCATGAACAACAACAGCAACATCATGAACAACAACAACAACAACAGCAGCAACATCATGAACAACAACAACAACAACAGCAACATCATGAACAACAGCAGCAACATCATGAACAACAACAACAGCAGCAGCAACATCATGAACAACAACAACAACAACAGCAACATCATGAACAACAGCAGCAACATCATGAACAACAACAACAGCAACATCATGAACAACAACAACAACAACAGCAACATCATGAACAACAGCAGCAACATCATGAACAACAACAACAGCAGCAGCAACATCATGAACAACAACAACAACAACAGCAACATCATGAACAACAGCAGCAACATCATGAACAACAACAACAGCAACATCATGAACAACAACAACAACAGCAGCAGCATCATGAACAACAACAGCAACATCATGAACAACAACAACAGCAGCAACATCATGAACAACAACAACAGCAGCAACATCATGAACAACAACAACAGCATCATGAACAACACCAACAACAACAGCAGCAACATCATGAACAACAACAACAACAACAGCAGCAACATCATGAACAACAACAGCAACATCATGAACAACACCAACAACAACAGCAACAACATGAACAACAACAACAACAAGAGCAGCAACATCATGAACAACAACAACATGAACAATAACAACAACAGCAGCAACATCATGAACAACAAACAACAACAGCAGCAACATCATGAACAACAACAACAGCAACAACATGAACAACAACAACAACAAGAGCAGCAACATCATGAACAACAACAACAAGAGCAGCAACATCATGAACAACAACAACAACAAGAGCAGCAACATCATGAACAACAACAGCAACAACAGCAGCAACATCATGAACAACAACAACAGCAACATCATGAACAACAACAACATGAACAATAACAACAACAGCAGCAACATCATGAACAACAACAACAACAGCAGCAACCTCATGAACAACAACAACAACAGCAGCAACATCATGAACAACAACAACAACAACAGCAACAACATCATGAACAACAACAACAACAGCAGCAACATCATGAACAACAACAACAACAACAGCAGCAACATCATGAACAACAACAACAACAGCAGCAACCTCATGAACAACAACAACAACAGCAGCAACATCATGAACAACAACAACAACAACAGCAACAACAACATGAACAACAACAACAACAGCAGCAACATCATGAACAACAGCAGCAACATCATGAACAACAACAACAACAGCAGCAACATCATGAACAACAACAACAAGAGCAGCAACATCATGAACAACAACAACAGCAACATCATGAACAACAACAACAACAGCAGCAGCAGCAGCAGCAACATCATGAACAACAACAAACAAGAGCAGCAACATCATGAACAACAACAACAGCAACATCATGAACAACAACAACAACAGCAGCAGCAGCAGCAGCAACATCATGAACAACAACAACAACAACAGCAGCAACATCATGAACAACAACAACAACAGCAGCAACCTCATGAACAACAACAACAACAGCAGCAACATCATGAACAACAACAACAACAACAGCAACAACAACATGAACAACAACAACAACAGCAGCAACATCATGAACAACAGCAGCAACATCATGAACAACAACAAC